AGCTTAATAAACAGTTGAATATTTGGTGTAAATTTATATTTCATTCAATAGACCCTTTTCGGGTTCCAAATTACCGCTGTGTTTCTTGATTACAGACTCATTTACTCAGGCTTAGCCTCGATTTTGTGCAGAATATTCGCGTGTTCAAGTCAAGGTCCGTCAAGTTTTAAAGTGTTCGTATTGTTGAATTTGTGCATTCTTTATTTAACTGTTGGTATTTGCGAGTAATTAGACACTGACTGGAGGCTTAGCCTGAGCATATGAGTCTGTAATCAAGAAACACAGCGGTAATTTGGAACTCGAAAAGGGTCTATACTTAAATAAATTATCAAAAATAATTGTCAAATAAAAGTCCTCGTTGTTTTGAAGATGGGACCCCGCGATAGGAGGCGAATCTTTGTTGAACGAAAAACATATTAAATTCTTTTGTCTTTCACGCTCGAGCTCATTTTCTCCTTGTTCATCCGTGAAGTTTTGTCTCAAACTCCTTCGTCTTTCACGCTTATTTTCTATTTGTTCGTCCGTCAAGTTTTGCCTCATATGCCTTTTTCTTTCACGATCATGTATCTCCTTGTTCAAATCCCGCCTGGATTTGCGTTTTCTCTCTCTCTGCTTGCAGCTTTTCTTCGGTGACATTCCTTCGTCTTTGCCTTCTTTGCGGTAAGTATTTTTTTCCTGAACTTCTGCCGAACGTACTAACTTGACTAACTTCAGGCGCAGATCAGAAATTCCCACTACGTGCAGAAATACCAACTTCAGTTTTAGCGGCGGTGCCGTACCATTCGGCGGATCGTTAAAAACTTTGGTTTTGACTATGCACAAATTCTTATAATATTTTATTATTTTTTAAAAATAAAAAGAAATATTGAAGAATTTACCTTTTTATTAGTTTTCCTCATCATGTTCCACGGGTTCTTTTCCCCTTGTAGGTCTCCAGTCAGCCTCCAAACGGTTCACGTGAATCAAGTATAAAATGCGGACGATCATCTCAATTATCTCGTGCATTCCTTCTACTAAGTCCATCATGTAGGGAAAATAGATTGATTTGTAAAAAAAGCTTAGAAAGTGAATCGTCAAAAGAAAGCTTAAGAGTAAAGTATGAATCGCTGTCACTGTGCATATAATTAGCGCGCGTCTCAACCAATGACTGCCTACCTCTACGTCACATATTTTTTTAGTGCACGTGACCGTGATTGTTAACTTGTTACTGACTATAATTTCATTGAATTCAACCGGCCTGCCAGTGCTTGCTCATGTCCGCATGAACGCGCGAATTGAATTGAAATAAGCCTGAAGCGAGATGACGTTTTACCCCCGTCTCTAGACCATGATAGCTTTTTAAATTCTTTCATATTAAAATTTTTGATTCCTTAGAGAATACAAGAACAGTACTCATAATTAAAGAACAAAAGCAGTGTGAAAAGGATTATAGTCTAGAGACGGGGGTAAAACGTCATCACGCTTCAGGCTTATTGAATACTCAAACTTGGTACGCTAGTTTAGTTTTCGCGATGCATCTTATGTCTTGACCATATAAGTAAACGAAAATTCATGCAACCACGTTTTTGATTCAAGTGAAAATTTTCCAAATTAACCTTTGAAGGGAGTATTTTGATCGTTAAATCATTCTGTGCAAAATTTGTGCAACTTTACTTTATTTGAATATTATTAGTAGGCTGAAATGGATTCTGCACGGATCGTGTTTTCTTCTTATTTGACTTCGACTTCATAAACTACAATGTAAGTTTTAGTGATTCAGTTTATTTTTATAATACGATGAGTCTTTGCGTGACAAAAAGATATATATATATATATTTATATGCAATTGTTTTGAGCGTCGTAAAAATTTCGACTTCAATCAACGAGCAGCTTCAAGATCTGGATTTCATTCTACGATAGTACAGCGTTTTAGCGCTATTAAAATATTAAAAGCTATTAAAAAAGATAAGCACTGAA